CTATATACTACCTATATAATATAAATATAATATATATATATATATAAAACTAATACTACTAAATCATATATATATATACTATATATATACTAACTAATATATATATATAATAATATGAACATACAATAATATACTATATATATAATTACTATATAACTATATATATATACTTATATATATATATGTATATATATTTATATTTATATATATATCATATATAATAATATACTATATATATGTACTATACTATGTCTTTTCTATATATACGTATATACTATTATATATATACTATATATATATATACATATATATATATAATATCCTTTATATGACATATATAGTAATATATATTATATATGTATTTAATACACCATATATATATATATATATATATATATATATATATATATATATACTCAATAACTTATATAAACTTATATAGTATAATAATATATATATATATGTATATATATACATATATATATATATACTAGTATATATAAACTCTATCCATTTGTCACAAACCTGGTTAATGCGTTTTAGGCAAATGTTTAAGAAAGAGAACCAAAATGCCAAGGAGGAAGTACGAGTATATTAGGTATAAAACAAAACGGCGACCATGTGACATATGAGGAAATTTGCATTGGTATTAAAGTATGCTGTTTTTGCCCTTTTCTTCCCTAATTCACAGTCTATATAGGGAGTACACCAGTTGGCGAATACTCCAATCGCCGAATAGTTGTTCTTCCCTACGAAAGACGTGTCGCTCTAACTGCCACATCTCAACTCCGACCTAAAACGTCGTTCCAATGTACTAGCGAAGTGTATTTCCCCCCAAACATTGGGAGAAAAAAGGACCGCGCTCTCAGAAACCAATCCTTGCGACATCAGCGCTCAATGCCAACACAAATCAGTATAACCCAGCACCCGACCAATACACCCGGGCCACCCACACCACCACCCAAACACACCAACCCACCCCCACAAAATCAAACACCACAACAACCCCCACCGGCATAAAACACCCACACCCCGTAACCACCCACACACAACCACCTAAAAAACACCAAACCACCAACACACCCACAATCGGAACCCCCAACAACACCCACATGACGCCAACACACCACCATCCAACACGGTCGAGCAGTCAGTTTGAAGAAAATATCATTGGGCATCCATGTTTTCTATCTTGAGGAAACTGGAATATATCTATAAGTTTAATTAACCGGTTATTCATATCCACAAATGAGAAGTATGAATGAGACCCATGAATATATTTCACAAATAACAAGAGATGTATTTAACCGCGCTCTTCGAACTATATCTTTGTCAAGAAATACGTTGTATTTCCTGACGAAGAGTATCCATTACGAAACAAGTCAAATACATCTCTTTGTAATATGTGAGCGCATATTTATTCACTCCATTCATACCTCTCTCTCACATTGTTTACAATTAACTTGCAGCATTACAAACCGGCCACAATATTTTTATCACGTTTCGCAACTCTCAAACATCACGGCATGCTTGCAATCAAACTAAATCTCCAGCATACGTCCAAAGTGAGTTGTCAGACAATCCAGCTACTGAAGTATGAAAGTGAAATAGATATACATAATAATATATATCGATGACCTACAGAAGATGACAATAATAAATCTTTTCACTGGCGAAACGCGAAAATCAAGCTCAACACACATTGGATTCGTAAGTCTGCACTTTGAACTTGAGATTGTTTCTGCCTCTCTCTCCATCTCTCATCTACTTCTCTCTCTCTTCTCTCCTCATCTCTCTCTCTCCTCTCTACTCTCCTCTCCTAACCTCTACTACAATCTCTCCTATCTCATACTCTACATCCTCTTCTCCTCCTCTCACCACTCCTCCCCTTCTAAACCTCTCCCTCTGCCCCGTCCTCCTCTCCCATCCCCCCTCCCCCTCCCATCCTCACCTCCTCCCTCCCTCCCCCCCATCGTCCTCTTTGACCCCCCTTCTCTCCCTCCCTCCCCTCCCTCCCATACTCTCCCTCCCCTCCCTCCTTCCCTATTCTCTCTCCACTCCCCTCCCACCTCCCTCCCCTCTCTCCCTCGCCCCTCAGCTCTCCAACACTTCCCCTCTCTCCCCTCCACCCCTCACCTCCTCACCTCCCTCACCCTCTCCTCCCACACCCCATACACCAACACACTCAACCACCTACCCTCCCCATGCCACCACAAACCGCAACCCAACCCCCCACACAACTCACACACACTCTCCCATCCCCTCCCTCTCCACCTCCCCAACACTCTCCCCTTCCCCTTCCCTCCCCCTCCCCCTACCTCTACCTCCTCTCCCTCACCCACTCCCCACACCTCTCTCCCTCCCCTCCCACACTCTAATACTACCCACCTCTCCCTCTCAAACCTCCCTCCCTCTCTCCCTCCCTCCCTCCTCCCTCCCCTCTCTCCCTCCCTCCCTCCCTTCCCTCTCTCCTCCCTCTCTCCCTCCCTCCCCTCTCTCCCTCTCTCCCTCTCCCCTCTCCCTCTCCTCCCTCTCCCAAATGTGAAAGATCTTTTATTCAATGGGGAATATATCTTTATGTGCTGTCATACAACTTATTTATGCTTATGATATATCTTGTCTTTCAGATCCACCACAGGATGTTCAGAACATGACATGTATTTCCAAAAACTGGGAACAGTTGAACTGTTCGTGGGTTGAGCCTCCAAATCCAGTCAGGGTTCAATACATTTTAACGTATGTTGTGGCTGGCTTCCGAGATACCAGGTACGCTTTTTGCGCTTCAGGGAGCAGTAGGACAGGGAAGCTTAGGTTATTTTTAGACCGAGGTGTAGTTTAGTCACTTTTATATAGTGGGAAACAAATATATTAGGAATATAAGGGATTTCTTTTTGCTTGTTAGTCTTAGTTCCTTTGCAGCAATGTAGTTGACCTTTTAGCATTTGTTTTTATAGTGTAATGCTTTTTATCTCTGGCAATGCAGTGGTTATAGAAGTCTTAGGCTTCCATATTCATTACATGTAGACATTCTTTTAGGACAGCACTATTTGTTTATGTATTTCATTTATTCTATTGACAGTTCTGTTTTAGACAAATCATCCAAAGTTAGGAAACTAAATGCGTTTTATGATATATATAGATACAGATATATAGATACATTTTTGGATAATATCATCAAGAGTTATCAAACTAAATGTACGCGTATTATGATAGAATGAAAATATAGAATGTAAAGTTCAGGATAGACAAGCATCATTTAAAAAGTCAATAATTGCAATTTCATTCTGTACAATATATTTTGCATAGGTTTAGGCAATGTGTTCATTTTGTGTCATAATGCTCATTTCTTATTTATTGTGTGAAGAAAACAATATACATATCATTTCCTTTTGCTTATCTAATTATTAATATATGGCCTGCCTGAAGCTTTATATTTTTACTAATTCTGTTCAATGGTTTTTAATGCCATTTTCAAACACGTGAAATGGACTTATTAATCATTGCTGATGAGACTTTAAGTCGCACTTACAGAACAAAATACAAAAAGTTAGTGAAGGCTTGAAGTTGATATTTTTAGCATCAGACGCAATGCAGACAAGAATTTTCTAAAAAAATATTTTGCTGTTGGTTTTACTAACAGTTTTTCTCTTTGAGCTTATCCCTTTTGCTCTTGGTGATAGTAAATCAGGTTTAATTGTGTACTGCACATTAGTAGTGATGCAGCCATGTATGAAATGAGCATAATGATGTAAAATGAAGAGGTTCATTGTTTATATTTAATATGGTCTTGCTTAGATTTACTAATTTATAATGTGAATGGATGATCCTTGATTTGAGTAGAGAATGTTTTGTGAGATCTTTGGTAGACATCTCAAAGTCCACGTCATTTTACACTGACTTTAAGTGACTGAGCCATTTGACCAAAAGAGTGTAAAATGTTTTAGCGCTTTCGAAAATCTTATCATATGACTAAGACAGAATAACACTGAGACAAAAGTTAGTGCTAGTAGATGTGCTTTTGTGTTAGCTTATTTTTATGTTTTGTTTTGCATGCATTCAGTGTAAACCAATCTGTTAGTTAGGATAGAAATATTTGAATATTCATTGTTTAGAAATTATATCAATGAATGTGTTGTTCATAGGTAGATATTAAATAAAACTTAATGATACAAGTTAGTTTCAGGGATTATTTATCATTAGTATCTTCACATTGATAGGAAATTCATGATAGAATTGATAATAAAAAGGGGGAATGATTAGCAATGATTAGCACAGTTTAGGCGGTATGATAAAGAAGTCAGTTTGGATGAAACAAGAGGGGTAATAGCTTTTATGTCTTATAGGCAACCAGGATGGACTGTGAAGTAATATGATAGGTTTTGTTTTCCATGTTAGTTGGAATTGGGAAGTAGGGTGCTTACTAATGGCTGATCGCCCAACATAGGTGGCACATCTAACAATGCATGTTGCATGAACAACAATGCATGCCATTTGATGCTGCTTAAGCATAGATGTATTGTCTTGTTGTTACTAATATATATATGTGTGGATATTCTTTGGTATAATTGTAATTTTCACTTGGTTATAATGTATGTCAGTTCACTATATCATGTGTAAATCATCAATTGACAGTCCTGAAATATATATTTTTTATTCATCTTATTTGTCTTTTTTCTATTGTTTTTTTTTTCAACAGATTTAGGGGATTAATGAGGTCCCTTGTAATAAAAAGTGTTAGTTTTGAGTTATATGTGAGAATTGATGGTGAGGATTAAGCATGGTTCAGATATTAGATACTTTTTTTACATGTTGAAACCAGGAACCTTTTAGAGATGTAAATAATTGTAAACATCATCAAATGTTATGCCTGTTTTTGTATACTTTATTGAGAAAAGAATGAGGTTTATTTGGTGGCCATTTATTACTAGTGTTTTCATTGGAATTGGAGTCATTTTGGTTACCAGTACACTGATGGATCATCATTGTGGTAAGGACTAAGT